CTGTGTTCATTTCTCTCTTGTACTGAGGAGCCCAGCACTGGACCCAGCAATCCAGGTGTGTCTCACCAGTGCTGAGCTGAGGGGAAGGATCACCTTCCATAGAGATGTCCTGCTTAGGGCAGCCCAGGAGATTCTTGGTCTTCTTTGCCACAAGGGCTTATCGCTGGCTCCACCAGGGCAGCAGGACCTCTCCAGCAGGTTGGCCCCAGCCTGTTCTGGTGCCTCAGGAGCAGGACTCAGCACTTCCCCTTGTTGAACTTCATGAGGTTTCTGTCAGCCCACGTCCCTAGCCCGTCAAGGTCCCTCTGGATGGTTGCACGTCCCTTTGGTGCATCAGCCACTCCTCCCAGCTTTGTATCATCTGCAAACTTGCTGAGAATGTACTCTGTCCTAGTGTCCAGGCCATTAATGAAGGTGTTGGACAGTATGAGACCCTGGGGGTAGCAATTCCTCTCATTGCTATGGAGGTAATGGAAAACAACAGACTCAGGGCCCCCCCCCCGAGCTGATTTCTGAAAAAGCCCGTCACAGACGTTGCTGCTGGCCAATGCATGTGTGGCAATAAACATAAACTCACGTTTCCTTTGTTGTTTAATTTTCTTAATGGGTAGTTTTATGCAGATAGGTGGGATGATGCTCCATCAGAGGGATGGATGCACCTGTCCTATGAAGACAGGCTGAGGGAGCTGGGATTGTTCAGCCTGGAGAAGAGAAGGCTCCGGGGAGCCCTTATAGCAGCCTTTCAATACCTGAAGGGTGCCTATAGAAGAGCTGGGGAAGGACTCTTTGCCAGGAGGTGTAATGATAGGACAAGGGGAAATGGTTTTAAATTGGAAGAAAATAGATTCAGATTAGATATCAGGAAGAAATTTTTTACTATGAGGGTGATGAGACACTGGAACAGGTTGCCCAGAGAAGTTGTGGATGTCCCATCCCTGGAAGTGTTCAAGGCCAGGCTGGATGGGGCCTTGAGCAACCTGCTCTAGTAGGAGGTGTCCCTGCCCATGGCAGGGGGGTTGGAACTCGATGATCTTTGAGGTCTCTTCCAACCCTAACCATTCTATGATTCTATGATGCTGCCAGCCTGCAGGTCCCCCCTTTCCCAGCTCAATTCTTGCTCCAGTAACCCCCAGCAGCACAGGGTGGCAACCGGACCCGATTCATGCAAATGGATGCAGGGGTGCCATTTCCAGCGGCACGAGGCACCATTTGCCTTTTGAATTTTGGTAAAGCCATTCACAGCACACACAGGAGGGGGAAAAGACCACCTCCCGTTCCTCCTCCCGCTGGCGGCGGGGAGCAGGGGAAACAAAATGCAAACGAAACGTGGAGGGAAAAAACACTTTGTCACCGATTAAAGAAGAGGATGGTCCCTACACAAGTGGATTGCTGCCACCGACAGCAGTACGCTTCGATCCCTCTAAGCTTGTGCGGAATTAATTAGGTAAAAACCCCTAGCATTTACCTTGGGCTGCGGTATCACCTGGAGGACGCTTGGCATGAATTAGTGCTGGATTATCACAGGAGCTCGAGCTGCGAAATGATCTGTCTGGTGAGAGTCTGCCAAGTAATTCACAGGAGGTGGCAAACAAAGTGGCATTTTCGTAATTTTAATTAGGTTTGGGGGGGGGGAAAGAGGTTAGCTTGAATAGAGCAAGAGGCAGAATGATGACCTTACTGAATATCTCATGGTCTTCCTTTTACACAGCTGGGATATGGGGACACACTCTGCAAATCTGCTCATAAGTTTCCTCACTACTTAGAGAATTTAAAAAGGAAGGTAGTGATGTTTTTTTGATAAGATAATAGATAATGAGATTGCAGTGGAAAAAGGCTTAGCTCAGGCATCAGAGAGAGGGTTGCTGTGACCTCTGAGCAGGGGTGGATGTGCTGCCTTGTAGAGGCTGGAAAAATGCCACCAGATGTCTCTGTAGCCTAAAAAATGTAGGGAGGCTGCTGGGCACACCAGCACCAGCACGGACTGCCTTCCTTGCCTGTGCTCTTCAGTAAAGGGGAGATTTAATGGAGGGAGCGAGCCATGCAAACCCTGAATTAAACCCACACTTATGAACCGCTCCTCCTCCTCCTCCCCAAATGCAAAGCTTCACGACCCCCATCTAGATCGCAACTGGTTTCTCCCAGAGTGAGGAAGCCAGGCTAGGCCACAAAGCAACTTTTTCTCCTGTTTTGGAGAAAGGCTGTTTGTGCAGCTTCACGGACAGTGCTTTGCCTTTTGTGGAGGTCTGTGCAAGGCAGAGTTCTGACTTACTTGTCTCCAGGGTCACCGGCACTGTACGTGTGACAGCAACCGATCACCTCGAAAAGCTTTGGAGGCAAAAATCAATCCTATCCCTCAGTGTCCCCATAAAGCAGGGAAGTTGAATCGTTTACCAAAAATCTCACTGGGAATAAGTGCATAGGATACATGGACTTAATTTACTTCTCTCTTCTGTTAGCGGCAGTGATTAGAGCTGCACACAGAAAGATCAAAGTGTTTTCTGATTCCCAGGTCTCAGCCACAAGAATCACAGCACCATTTGCCACCCGAAACAGCAATTATTTATGCTACTAGTGAATTTAAATAAAAACAAACCACCAAACAAAAAACCCCAAACTGATTTTCTGCATGTAGGTCAGACCTCCTGTCTGCATTTTAGGGCGATATGAAGGGCATCCAGCCTGGTTGTCTTTATTGCCCTGTGGGCAGTTTTAAATTTCACTGAGGAAGGGGGTGGTAAGGGAAGGGAGAGTGGCAAAAATTAGATCTGCGGGAGGTCGGCTCTATCCACTTAACTGCTATTGACCCACTTGTAACCAGAGCTGAGCCAAGCCTGGCTATTGGAATTCCTCTGACAATGTGCATGGCCCAAAAATACCTAAATCCGTGTCATAGTGAAGGGGCTACAGCCTGAAAACCACCATAGATACTGCTTCTCTCATAGCTGCTTGAGGCTGAGGGGAATAAGAAAGAGAAGCTGGGGTAAATTTACTGAGGGATTAAAAGGAGGAAGGGACTTTCTTCCCTCTTGCTGGGTAAAGTGTGGAAAGCCCCAGGGAATTACTGCTCTTTGTTTCAGTTGCTGCACTAAAAAAACCCCAAACCTTTCTGAGAAAGGATCTTTACAATTATGAAAATCTTGTGCTTTAGTTTGATTCCTCAGTTCCTGAAAAGTTCCCCAACTTGCAGCTTGTTTTTACGCCATTTTGGGGCTGCAAACGTAGCAAAGTATATTGGAGTATCAGGCCCGTATTTCTCTCCAGACTCCCACGTATGCTTTCCTCACACTTTTCCTCATGAAAGAGAAACCAGATACTCCTAGCCCCAGCATGAGAAAATTGTGTTAATTTTAATAACTTAAAGTGTAACTGTTATACCCTGCTGCAGTAGCCACACTGATAGAAAGTAAGCACCAACATGCGACCCAAAAATGTGTCTATTAAAATAAAATAATAAAAATAAAAAAACGGTTGGCTTACATTAGTTATAGGTTTGGCTGAAAAGCTGAGCCTTGGACTGTATGAGCTGGGTCTGGCTGTGTGGGTCCACAGAAAGACTGAATTCATTACTCAAGAAACCTTCATGGAGGGCACGCTGCCTTCAATCCCAAGGAGCAACGTCGATGAATAAGAATGGACACAGGCTAATTCAAACCCTTCTCCCATCTATCACATCAAGTTAGTGATTTCTCTCTTCTTTGTGGTTCCCAGCCAATTGTCATTTTCAGTGCATCCTATCGCCCCGCAGTACAAACTGTTCTGGGAATACACTTCATTCCTCCAGCAGCCTCTCAGCAATGCCAAGGAATGTAGCTCTTCTGGTTACAATTAAGAAATTCAACATACAAATGCTCCCCGAGTGCACCAGAACCTGCCTGTGACCTTCACGCAACCGAATCTGAAGGAGTCGAAGCAATTTTTGTTCTTTGGCTCTAGTGAAGAGCGGGAGGGGAAGAGGAGGGGGGAAACCTCCCCCTCACCCCGTTCCTCCAGGGAAGCCCCCTGGTCTCAGGGGTCAGTGGCACAGAAACTGGCATGGGGAGGTGCAGCTTCCAGGGCTGCCTTCCCACAAGGACGTCTGGGCTGCAGGGTCGGTGGGAGTATGCCAGCCCTCTGTGGTGTGCATAATTCCCCACAGGGCATGGTGGCAAGTGTGCTGGCAGGCCGAGCGCAGGCAGCAATGGAGCCTACCTGCCTGCTGCCACCCTTCTCCTGGGGACATCGGGTCCCCAGAGCCACCGCTAAGCAGCTGGCAAGGGCTGCCTCTTGCTGCCTGAGTTCCATCCCCGTGGACCGTCTCTCTCTCTGTTTGAACTCTTTTGGGGCCTCTGCGTAGAGACTGTGAGAGCAAAATCTACTGCTGCCTTTTATCATGTTACATCTCTACTAGGATTGTGTCTGGGTGAGACAGTTCAAGAAGCTATTACAGAATAGCTCTGTAGTATCTATTTATAAATACAGTGTCTATATAAGCAAAAAAGCAAATACTTTTTCATTGTGAGCATGAACATGTTCGATGCTTTTGAGGTGTGTCCCCTCCTGCCTCTCTTCAGCCTCTGCATTTTCAGCCATAAACTGGCTTTAGAATCACAGAATGGTTAGAGTTGGAAGGGACCTTAAAGATCACCTCATTCCAACCCCCCTGCCATGGACAGGGACACCTCCCACTGGAGCAGGTTGCTCAAAGCCCATTCACCTTGGCCTTGAACACCTCCAGGGATGGGGCAGCCACAACAGAATCACAGAATCACCATGGTTGGAAGGGACCTCTGAGATCGAGTCTTTGATGGGCAACCTGTACCAGTGCCTCACCACCCTCACAGTAAATAATTTCTTTCTGGTATCTAGTCTAAATCTCCCCTCTTCCAATTTAAAACCATTACCCCTTGTCCTGTCACTACACTTCCTGACAAAGAGTCCCTCTCATTCTTTAAAACTCTCTTTCCCCTAAAGCTCAGGATGACACTGTTGCCCAAGATGAAAAATACATTTGTGTTTTCCAGATGGCTGGCAACGGCGAAGGAATAGCATGGAAAGTCCTTGATGTGGAATCTCATTATCCAAAAGAACTCAGAGGGTCCCTGGAGCTCTCCAATGACACCTCCTTTTCACTGAAGATCAAAAACACGACCAGCCAAAACAGCGGGACATATAAGTGCATTTTGGCAGAACAGAGTGGAGAACGCAATCTGAGCAGCATAGTCACATTAAAAGTAACAGGTACAGTAGACACTCTTGACTGTCCCATGCTCCACATGGCATTTCAGGAAGGAAATAGTTTAAAAATATTTAACAAACACTGGAACAATGTAACACCTTGCTTTGTGTTTTAGGTTGCCCTGGAATAGAAGACGAAAAACTTAAAAAATACAAAACTGAGCTTTTCATGCTGACTTGCCTTGGAATTTTTTACTTGCTGCTCATCTTTTTCACCTGTGTAAGTAATTCCCTTTCTCATAAACAAACCAACCAAACCCAACAAAAAACTCCCACTTATTTTCTCTGCTAGTACCACCTTAACACAGCTGGTTAGAAATCACTGTTCAAACTTAATTTATGATCAAATCCTTTAAATACTCACACGGTATTTTAAAAGCCAGAAGAAACTCAAGTGCATGAGGAACACAGGATGGAGTCCCAAAGAGATAAAACATTTCACTACACCCTGATCTAACTCAAACCAGACAGTTATTTTCCTGCACCCCACTGCCCATTTCTGCTTCCAGCTACTCTGAGTGCAAGCTACTCTTCAGGTTAAGGGCACATCAACAGCTCTTCTGGTTTGGAACTTGGGAACAGCATTTGCTCGAGATGGAGGCACAGGCCTCTGGGTTCCCTCTCCCACCTATGGCATTGCTTTGTGTGGCAGCATGATGGACAAGTTCAAGTCCACCTATTTTTTGCCTCAGTTTCCATACCTGTAAATTGGTGACAACCCTGTTTCAGATGGGTGTCTTTGTGAAGCTCCATCTTTCTTGGTAAACAGACATTTAAAGATCCTTGGAAAAGAACCTTGTTGGGGTTTCATCCATACCATTAACACTGGCTGGTAGCTGGAGAGAGGAGGTATTTGGGAAGGTCACTTCACAGAAGCCAATCTATGCTTTATCTGTGGTAGTGTTGAATTCACCCCCTTGTGTAGAGGTCTGCGCCTCCTGGCTTAGAGGTAGCATGAGCCTTTGGTGTCAGTACAGTGCAACTCCGTCTGCCTTTCTAATTAAAAACAAAACAAAACCAACCCCAGCATTTTGGAAGGTCAGATTTAACTTCTACTCCCTATTTCCCGTTTGCCTTCTTGTTTTGTTCCTCGGCAGATGAATCATAACTGTTGATTGGAGAATATCTAATTAGCTGCAGCTAAATGTAGCTTTTCATGTATCTTCAGGGAGCAATTAAATTTATGCTTGTCTCTTTTTTAGATTGACAATCCTGCCAGTAATTTGTGCCGTTCAGACTAAAGTTTGACAAGATAAGTCTTGTAGGAATTTGTTAGGATGAAAGTATGAAAGCAAGGATATCACTCACAAGAGACAGATGCCCCTGTTCTGCTCAGTGTCCTGAAAGTATTTCAGCTCTCTAAAGAGACCTCTCCTTCCCCATATGTAAAAAAAGTCCCATTTGTAGTGGTGCAGTTAAAAAAAACCAGAGCTATGTAGTGAAGATAATCACTCCGATGGAATTACGTGTATCTTACTCTTGGGTGAGGTCCAGTCTCAGATATCAACTTAGTTTTCATCAAAGTTTAATATTGCCCTGATCTCACAAGTGAGCTTCATTATTTAAAATGCCTGTTAAGTTCTTACAGGTTGCCTTGTCCTCTCCTCTAATGGAAGTTGTGCCTAATCTCCACTAAACTCAACACTGACATTAAGTTTAAGACCAGTGTCAGGATTGGGGCTTTACTTTGACAACTTGATGAAAATATTTTGGGGACTGACCTGTATTGAAGGCAGGTGGAAACAGATTTGCAAGAGCTTGATGCAAGGTCTGTTCATATGAAAACATGAATTAAATATAAATTTCCTTTTATGTCTAAGGTTTTTGTCCTATAAAGCTCCTTGATTGAGAAAGAAACAGTAGCTTTTCTTTGTATTGTGTGCTTCTGGTGACAAACAAATGGAAAAGGTGTAACGTATGGTTAGCAAGAAGGAAAATCAACACTTTAAAACTTTGAAAAAAAAAAAAAAAAAAGCCTTTCATAGGAACCCTCAGTTTTAAGCTTTCCTTTCTCTTTTCTGTTTTAGACATGCCTAAGGAAAGACAGTATGTCTCCCAATTACCAGAAAACCAGACCAGATATGAAACACATGCTCACCCTCATCAATGTACGTGAAATGACAACTTTCCAGGATTTAAACAGTGACAACACTTGCAAAAATGGGCTTACTTCAAGTTCTGTCTAAGTTGACGTTGACGGGACCGTGGGCTCATCAGTAAGCACGACACAAGCTGGATGGCTGAGTGGTATGGAGAGGAAATAAATGGTAATATATGGCCTCTTCAGAACAGCCTGAAAATATAGGTAACCTGCCAGCACTCTGCTTGCACTGGGCAAGCCTTTGAAAAGCACTGTTATGCACTACAGTAACTTTTAGGAGTTAGGCGGCTAAGAATTGCCATTGCAGCTACACAACAGTGTTATGATGCTATTATGAAGTTGATATCAACTTTATTTCACTCTGCTGTGCAGCCCTCTTCTTCTGAGTAAGAACGCTCCTGTGATACGAAGACCAGGTTACGAGGAGGCCATGGCAGTGCAAAGCTGGGTAATTAAGCTCTTCACTGAACTAATAGCTCTCATCTTTCAAAAGCAAACACAACAGGTACCGCAGTATGAAAAGCTAAGTGTGTGGGGCTGTCTCTGCTCTGAACCTAGAGCAGATTCCTTTACTCAAATGGGATGTAACTTCTCGTGTGATGTTCAAGTAAGCTGAAGAGGTAATTTCAGGCTCTTGTCCTGTGTGGATCAAATCAACATTCACTTTTAAATCTCAGAGTGACAGACAAGCTGAAATGTAAGAAGGGAGAAAATATTCTGGAAGTCTTTCTGGACCAAGAGGAACCATCTATCTCTGTGAGAGAAGTAGGGACACGTTTCCCAGGGGCATCTCTAGACAGGTCAATGCACAGGAAGATTGAATGGACTGTTAACTTTAAAGCAACAAAAATAAGAATGAAGCAGCCAGTGATATTAAGGACATGTAAAGATTACTTTGTGGTTTATAAAACATGAAGTCAAATGTAGGCGACATCTATGTCAGTCAAGTTACACAAGGGATAACCAAAGCCATGGCTTGGAAGAAATCAACCATCCACGTCTTTGGGATGTGCTGAGTCAGCGGTGAGATATCGGAATGGGAGATGAGACATGTGAGCACCTGCTTTTGCTGTTGACAGTGTGCAGTGTATATGAAACAAGGACATGAGAAAAGCTGAACTCGAGCACACAATATATAAGGGAGAGAAGACTTGTCCTCTCAGATCAAAGAAAGCAAGAGAGAGATTCTGGAGTCTGAAATCAAGGAACCTCCCTTATCTGGATGCTGGTGCAGAAGGTGGAGCAAGAGGAGTCTAGAGTGACTGTGGGTGTTTATGCCACAGTATGAGAATTTGAGCCAAAACATGAATTTGCAAGGACTTAAGAACACAATCTTAAAAAAGAAAAAAAATATCCTTCAAGAGTTAAACTGCAACATTAGGATTTTTAGTGGAGTTTGGAATTCCAGGCTGTGACAAGGAGGCTCTTTCCATAATCCTTTGACTCATTTTGAAGCGCTGATGGGAGAAAGGCAGCGTGCATCACTCAGTAGTACCTCTGTTAGCAGAGTAGATGTCTGCATTGGTGGAGTCCAAGGGGCTTCTGACCAGAAGAACGGTTACAAGGGATATGCGATTTACTTAGAGCATGGTAAATTAATGCCACGTTTGCTTTTTTTATAATCCATTTTTACATATAAATGTGCGGAACACACTTGAAATAAAGATTCAGAAGTAACCTACCATTTGTCTTTGTGTACCACATATGGCAAATAAATCCAGAAATACTCCGTATCAATTGCATTTGATTTTACAACCAACATAATTACATCAAATAATGTAGATGCCTGATCCAGCCTCTTCTGTGGGAGAGGGTATGTATGTGTGTATAATTGATTAAGCAATGGATAATTTTATGCATTTCTAAGGAACTAAGATAATTTAAATTTTTCTCAAAATTTCAATTTGTGTCCAAAGTACCTTTTAAAACACCTGTTCCCTACTGACAGGCAAGTCATTAGGGAAAATGCAAGGGTGTTTAAGTCTACCCATGGTGACTTTTAAATGTGGTGCCTCACCACGGGTGACATGTATGTTTAGATGGCAGTAATACAAACTGAATGTGCAGAGATACATCAATGCCCCTGGGTACATGAAGTTTCTCCATTTGGGCAGAAAGGCTTAATCCCTGACTGTCATAGTTTTTTTTAAGTTTTGATTACCATCAATTTTTTTTTTTAGGAGAGAGGACAAGAGGAAGGAAGGGAAAATTAAGTTGAAAGGGGTTGAAAATTAATCAGTGGCAAAGGCTGAAACACTTTAAAAATAATTTCTTCAGTATATAAATAGGATCAGATCAGATAGGACAGAATGAAAAAAGGGACTTTGTGTGAGCAACTATACCCATTACTTTTTCCCCGAGCCAAACTGTCTGCAATCCAGAAGATGGGGCCTGAGGCAACAACACTGGGAGTCACATTTCAGGCTCAGAAGTTTTAAGTCTGGTTGATTCTGGGGCTTTGCTGTAGGCCCAGCTGTGCAGTAGAAGTGATCATGTTCAAGGCCAGTGAAACGCATTAAAGAGTTTAGAAGGCATAAGCAGTGAGAAAGTCTTATGCTGAGATGCTTGACTGAGCCACAGAGCTGGAGAGAAACAGGTAACCTAAAGCAAAAAAGGTGCCTGCACATCTGGGATGTAAAGATACTGCTGTGGCATTGTAGGACAAAACCTAACATTAACCTAATATTACGAATCAGAACCAGGCAACTGAAGGATAAAGGCTAATGTATTATAGCAACTTCAGCACTAACAGGGGAAAAAAAAATAAAATAAAATAACGTCTGAAAATCTTACAGGATGAGCCACACATTTTTCAACATAGTATCTCAGAAGAGACAGTCCTTCCTTGCAATATGGACCTATTCATATTTCAAAATTACTGCCTCAGCCAGCCCAGAATACAGGGGATGAGCCCATGCACACATTCTTTAGGCTTTAACACTTCATTATTACAGGCAACGTGTTGCGGATTGCACAATCAAGAAACTGTTTTGATTATAGAGATTAATTGCTTTGTTAGACAGAAAGAATTATTTTCCACCACTCTTATTATTGATGCCTGTAGTTTTGTAAGACACTATAAAAGCATATGTGTATGCTAGAACAGTTCTTCGTAATACTTTCTAACAATACATTTTAGAATCGGGAATTTAGTTAATCTCAACAAATCTGTGAGGTGAGAAATAGCATAATCTTTGTTTTATAAATAAAAGCTAAGACACCTGGAAATCAAAAAGCTCCTGAAGAAGTCTGGCTCAGAATTGCGAAGAGATCTGAGGTTTCCTGACTCTCCCCTGGGTGCCTTAATCACAGGAGCTTCCTTGTTAATATTTCCTGTGGGTTTTCTAACTTTTTCATTCCCCCTCCTGCCCCGTAACCTGCATTTTTCTCTTGTTTTGTCCAAAGGTGAACCATCTGCATTCAAAGATAACAATAAGCACTATATATAAAATTACTTATACAGAGCAAGTGTGTACAGCTGTGATTAAGGAATATACAGCAAAACACTGCACTACATGGGGAAATGATCCCAAAGAGAAATTGCAACGGCCATGCACCAGAGCTAAATGAATATCCAAAATGGCAATGAGGGAAAGGTAAAGGACATCATCCACAAAATGCTGAGTGTATGAATTATAGCCCTTAGCTAAGCCTGATTTGTGCGGCTAGCACTTACATAGCAGATAACCCAGGCTGACAGTGACCTTGATAGCACTGCAACAGTAATATTTCCTGGGAAGGCTGAACAGTTTTCAACCTATTTCTCCCAAGCAGAAGTTACAAACGGGCTTCTATTCAGCAACGTGGACTGAAGTAATCCTCGGCACGTGCCCGTGAGTGATACAAAGAGAATACGGCTCTTTGGGCAGGCTGAATGCCTGCCTCCCTCCTTTCTTCTGCCCTTGGTAAGACCACTTTGGAGAGCACAGAGAGCATGTCCCTGGTGCACACATTCCCTTTCTTCCCCCCCTCGGCGTGGAGCTGAGCAGCCATGCAGCGCTGGGGGGGGATCCAGTTCCAAGTCCATTTAGCAACTGCGAGTACTTGGCGACCTTCTCAGACAATGCCCCTGTCCCTCGGGAACTGCAATTGATTTTCCTCATCTCCGTACACAAAGGCACCACTTCTACGCTATGTCACAGCTACGTCGTTAAGGGTAAATTGGAAGTTTTTCCTTTTTAAGCAAATATCAGCAAACCCCTGATTCTTAGCCACTTGCGGAACAAACTGCTGGGGAGATTAAAGAGTTACAAATAAAGGCAATACCAAATTTTTTTGGTTGATGGTCTGTTCTCTCCTCACCTCCCTGCCAAGACCTGTGTTTGCAGTGCTTTGCTTTTTGCTGACTACAGCTGATAGTACTTTCTGGTAAAGCTGCAAGAAGAGTGCTGTTAGCTCTCTGGAGGGGTGACGTAAATCCTGAAAAATCCACCGAGGGGATGGGTGGTGGTAAGACCGACATGGGTCGCTGCAAGCAGCGGTGGATCCTTTGAAGGCTTCATCTTACATCCAAGCCATACGAGTCTTCCCCTCCCTTTGATGGAAAGACTTGCTCCATCCCTGTGGCTGAGTTACAAGTGCATCGGTTGCGCTGCAAATGGATGGTCTGGGCTGATTTTAAGCATTTACTCGGTTACAAAACAGAGATCACAGGCAGTGCAAAAAAAAAACCAAACAAAAAACCCCAACCCCAAAACCAATAAAGCCAACCCCATGGACAGATCAAAGGCAAGGGGCAACAACTAAGGTCCTAATGGAAACACACATTCTACAAGCCCAGTGCAAACATGGGCTTTGCTCTCTGCAGAGTCTTTCAGTGCCTTCTGCCAAGGGAGTAAAAACAGCCTGTATTGGTTAGGGGTTTTTTTTGTTTGTTTGGTGGTTTTGCACCAAACATTTGCACTGTGTGCCTCAGTTTCCCTGTCTATAAATGGGAGTGAATGAGTTCAAGTGCTGTCTTGTGTGAGAGGTGGGGAAATTGGCAATATTTACACCTTGTTGCCTGCTTGGAGCTGGAAGGAACTTTTTACCCCAGCTGTCCTTCAGGGGAGAGAACAGGAGGTTTGAACTGCTGGACATTAACGTTGAAGGAAAAAGGCCCTGCTGACAAGAGAAACTGGATTAATAAGAATTGATAAGCAGAAAAGTACAGGAGTCTCTGCAAATGCTGGGGTCTAGACCAAGCACCTGTAACACAAATGTGTGACAGTTTCCACCCACTCCCTTTTGCTATTTTCATCCCATCTGAATTCCAGCTCTGCCAATTCACTCTCACATCTGTTCTCAGACTTGGTATCAACACTGATTTAATCACATTCCTTCCATCTACTGAGCTGGAAGTGTAGGGTTATGTACAAGCCAGGAGAAATTAACCCCTTCCCTTCGTTAGCACCAGCTAGCATGCCTCTCTTGAGATGCGGCTGCTGGAGCTCAGGTGGGCAGCTGAGCTGATGGGCCTGTGTCAGCTCCACAAATGGAGAGTGTGTTGAGCACATTACTGCTAAAGAAACCCTGCAGGTACGTACTGAGCACCAGAGGTCTGGATAGCCAGCAGCATCTGTGGCTACATGGACAGGAACACAGCATATCAAGTAGATCCCCCACGCAGCACTCCTTAGACCACACCTAGATACCTTGTCCAGTTCTGGGCCCCCAAACTACCCCCAAGGCAGTCAGGGCTGGGGTGCTTGCCCTGTTAGGAGAGGCTGACAGACTGGAGCTTGTTCAGCCTGGAGAAGAGATGGGTTTGGGGAGACCTAAAAGCATTCTCCTCAGTACCCATGAGGAAGTTAGTAATTATTGTTCAGTTGTTCTCCAGGTACCCAGCCCCTGAGCTGGAGGACAGGGAAGGGGAGCAGAATGAAGCCCCCATAATCCAAGGGGAAATGGTTAGCAACCTGCAACACCGCTTAGACACACACAAGTTTATGGGGCCAGGTGGGATCCACCCAGGGGTACTGATGAAGATGGGGGAAGTGCTCACCAAGCCACATTCCATCATTTATCATCAGTCCCAGCTACCTGGGGAGGTCCCAGTTGATTGGAGGTTGGCAAATGTGACACTTATCTACGAGAGCAGCCAGAAGTAAGATCTGGAGAACTACAGACCTCAGTGCTGGAGAAGTTTATGGAGCAGATCATCTTGAGTGCCATCACATGGAATGTACAGGAAAACCCAGGTGATCAGGCCCGGTCAGTGTGGGTTTATGAAAGATTAGTTAAGCAGGACCTGCCTATCTCCTTCTATGACAAGGTGACCTGCTTAGTGGACGAGGGGAAGGCTGTGGATGCTGTCTACCTAGACCTTAGTGAAACTTTTAAGACTGCTTCCCACAGCTTAAAAAGTAAAAAAAAAATATTCCTAATTTGTGGCATAAGGTGGCAAAAGAGCCAGCTTCCTGCTTACAAGGCAAGGATACAGCTCTCACGCTGGGATGCTCTACACAGACTTGCTGCCTCATGGGGCAGTTTAGCAGGTGGGCCACTGCTCATGGAGTTGGAGCCAAACGGCTCTCCTGGCTGGGGGAGCCAGGTCCCCCTTCTCTGTACTGTCTCACGCAGCTCCCATCCGTGGGCTTGCAACTGGGCCCTTAAATTAATAAAAACTGCAATCTCAGATCAGATGCTGGGACCTTTCTGCTAGGCTGCAAGACACTGGTCCTGAGGATAGGTCCTTCAGCTA